TTTTTTTTTTTTTTTTTTTTTTTTTTTTTTTTTTTTTTTTTTTTTTTTTTTTTTTTTTAACTCCGGACGCCCTTGTTATCATCGATGTATGGAGTAAACCCTTGTAACCCTTTCTCTTCCTTTCTCAAAACTGTATCTTGGAGCCGCTATCTTGCCATCTTGCCATCTACWMGGTACCTCCACCCTTAAACCCTAAACCCTCGTTCCCTACATGTCCTGTTTCACTTCTCCTYACTCCGAGTGAACCTCAGATCTTTATCCCGTCATATTCAGTYGTACTTTCCRGCCTCGATTAACCTTGCCGCRAACGGTTGTGTCCTTCCTTCCAATGGYTGTTGTCCTCCTGTGATTTTGCAGCCTTAGCTATTGGAGCTCTTCACCTTGCCCCTTCTGGAGAATGTCRACTTGTTCCCTTGGTTAGGATAATCATCCGATGTTTGGCTGTGTCTTCCCTTCTTTCTGAACCGAAGTGGCGTTTCCCATGCCTCATTCATCTTCGACCTGTTATCAAGAGTTKATAATCCGTTCCTGTTCGCCATGACCCCTCTTGTGTATACCTTGTCCCCATCMTCTATTGACCCTTCTTTTTATCTGTTCCCTGTGTGTGTTTGGTCTCGTTGGGACCTCCTGCTCATATCCGAATTATGCCAGTCCTTCCAACAGATCCGGTCGTTACACAATTCAGCCACCTTCSCTTCCAGTAACCAGAGCTTGATGAATTTGTCCTTGATTTTTATCCGCTGRCTTTCCTCTTCCGGTAGTGACTGCTGTAACTTTCGCCATTTGCAGAGTATTTCAGCTTGCATTAGGGTCCTCGTCTCTGCCCATACCTTTTCTCTTGAGTTGGCCAAGCCCTCAATAGTTCTGCTGCATCTTTCTTTCCATATAATCCACAGTGTTACCTTCCTGATGAGGCCGAACCACAACCTTTCTGTTTTTTTTAGTTGGTCAGGAATGTCAGTCCAGAGTAGAAGCTGAATAGGTAGTTTGGGGAAGGGGATGTTAAAGAGGAAATCCCAAAGTGCCGACGCCCTGGCCCAGTATTCTGATGCTTCCTTGCATTGAATGAGACAGTGAACTAGGTCCTCCTGGATTCCATCAGGGCAGAGTGCGCATAGTTCTGAGCTAGTAGGGTCCTTTTTGTGACGTCGTATGTGGAGCCAGTGGTTGGCCGGCAACGCAGCGTATGTAATTAGCCACTGGAGGCTTCGGATCTTCACCGGTCTCATGGACTTAAATTTCTTCCACGGGATGTGAGTCAGTTTATCTGCCTCGTGGCCTAGTAATTTCTGCCATCTGGCTTTTCTTGTTGGTTCTGGATTTTTTGTTTTGACCAAGAGCTTGTAGCCAAATTTGACTGTGTAATTTTGTATGGGTGTGTGTGCTTTAATGTTTTTTTCCTTGTCCGGCTCCATTCCCATTCCGCCGGATCAAACTCCAAATTCCTCACTGCCATGTCTGGTCTGAAGATTTGTTTGGGCCATGAGCCTATAACTCTCACTTTCCTTAGTAGGAAGAAATCCATTACTGTTGTTTCCACATTTTGGTTTTCGATTGCTGGCCTACCTTGTTGTGACAGGGTTGTCGGAAAGGAGGAGAAAACGGCTTTAGTGCTTGAACCCGGTTGCATGTGTGAAAATTGAAAGGCGCGGAGTGGGTTAGTCTCTTGCACTTTAATCCCCCATTCTCCAAATTTCCATGGGGTTGCTTCCCTCAATATATCTTTCCAAGCCTGAGGGATACARTTGATGACGTGSAGGAGGTTGGGTCCTYGGCGATGGCAGCCCTTTAACCGGTTACTTAACTCTTGTTCAGTCATCCAGCACTTGCTATCCTCGTTCCACAGGTGCCCTACCGTCCAGACCCCATTCTTGACCCATGAGAGCCGTTTGTGGTCTAGATGTATTGGATTATCGTTTTCTTCTCTTATCCAGTCGTTTCCAAAGAGTGGTTGTCTTAGC